TCATGTGTAAGATATCTCACCTGGGGCAAGATGTCGTAAAGGTCTGAAAAGATTGTCTGAAGATTACATATTATTATCCTAGATAGCAAAGGATACTGTGAATTCAGTTACTTTCACAACAGTTTAATTTACTGGTGGTATGAGGGAAAAGGAGGCATGTTGTGGTGTTTTCAGATTTGCAGTTGAAACAATTTAGACATTCGTTGTGGCTTGAATTTGCAGTAGATAGGTCATGGCCAAAAGCATAAAACCACTGCGAAACAGAAGTATGTTGCCTAGGATGTTGTGATAGTCATACAAGTCTAGAACTAGAGAATATCTTAAAAGACAAGCTTGGAAAAGCAGATTGTACTTAGTTCAGAAATGATATCGATGGTGAGCCTAAATGAGAGATTGCTGAAATTTTCATGGTACTTTTATGTTCACGGTTTGCGCCGACTTTTTTCTGCACCTGCTGCCACCGCGAACATATAGTTCCGCGAACATGTCCTTTTTCTCTCAGACTTTTGCAACCGCGAACATAAAGTGAATCACAGTATTCTACACTTGTGAAGCTTACTGTGTTGATTTACATCACCACCTGTTACATCTTGTACCTTTGTGATAACAAAATTCTACTACTTGACAAATTGTCAATTACAGCAGAGGAATGGGCTTGGCCCAGGGGCAGGCATATCACGGCTGTAATCAGAGACTGTGGCTTTCCAACTCTGCGACCTTTGCTAGTCTGCGTTCTACTGGGACACAGACTTATCTGGGTGGAATGTAGCAGAAAAATTCTGTTTTCTTGAACTGCAAATGTTGTTTGTGTGTCCGGAAAACTACTGTAAATTATGTTATGTTCGCGGTAGCAAACATTCGGGGTCTGGGAAAAATGGACGTGAGACTATATATTCACAGTGGCTGCAGGTAGATCTACAGAAAAAAGAATGTCGGAGAATTATTTGTTCAAGGTAACGATAAGTTCGCTGTACAGAAGTGACAGCAAAATGGCGAATGTAAAGTACTGTGAAAAAGTTTGTGATTTACAGTTTTTGGAGATCGTAAACTAAAAGAGTTCATATGATTTTGTGAAGGAGAGAGACAATTGAAGGTAGTAAATGTGAAGGTCAGTTTATTTCAAGGTCAAGAAAAAAAATGGTCAACCATACCATGCCAATTTGATTGGTTTTTTCACAGGTGTGCTCCCAAAAAATAATCCGGAATCAACTGTTAATTTTATGTGAAGGATATTTTTTTTCTTTTTAGTACAATGTTTGGACCAGTAGTTTGGCAGAGGTTCAAGGTCGTGATTCTTATAAATGTTTAGCTTTGATGATAACCTCTTTATGAAATACCCATAAAAGCACACAAAAAGCAGATGTACTTCAAAACATCCAAGTAATATGGAGTGATAAGATCAACTTCAAGTAGTGCCTGGCTTGTTTTTACGTCTTTTCAAGTTGTAAAACAAGTTTTATGATAAGGTAGGTTTATCATTTGCCCCAGGCATGGATTATAAGTTCAGTTAATGACTTAGAAGTAAACTCTTCATAATGAGCACCTGTTCATGGGTGAATATTAGTACTAATGATGGCAAAGATGATATTAACTTTTATAACCACGCTAGTAAACATTTGGTATTATTAGAGTCGTAAAACTTAAAAGTATATTGTGCACATTGAAGTGTTAGTACCATGAACAAATAATTTGCAGATTTTCTTTTTGCTGCACCTGCCGCCACCACAGACGTATATTTCCACGAATATTTTCATTTTTCTCAGAGTCAGACAGCAAACTTTTGCTACGGAGAACATAACGTGATTTACAGTAGATTCAGGTCAATTTACTAACTTAGAAGAAATTGAATGATAGACAAAAACAGTTGTCAGAATGTCTTCTTTGAAACCGAGTAGATTACGTCCAATTGTTTCCACGTTTTTCTGGTTTGGAGGAATCTGGATCTGGCAGTTGACTGGCAGAGTCAGATGTTGTTATAGGTGGTGCAGGGTGTAAGTTACAAGTCAAGTCTGTAAGTCTCCAAATCTAATAACATTCAAATTAATAAAGTCAGGCTGACAAATGATAAGGGCAGGAGTTTGATAGGAGGGTCATTCCAGTATTGTGGGGGAGGGGGGCTTGTGAAAGAAACTGGCAAGGTATCCATCCATATATTTTTTGGCTTAGCTACTGTAACATTCATTGTGTATACGTGTCCAAACAAGAAAGATTTGAAACATTCTAGATATAAGTCTTTAGAGTTGTCTGAATTTCTTGTTTCATTAATTGTCAATTCTGATTCAGTTCATATTCACACGGCCACTTCTGCACAGCCTGCTGAGACCATTTTGACCTCCAAGTTGGCCTACCTGTCAGTCTGTGGTTACACCATTTCCCCTCTTACTCCCTGTGACTGTACTATTTAGATAGCTACAGACATACAAGTAAACAAGCAGACAAACGCTGAAAGCAAAACCTCCACATGGAGGTAAATATACTGGATAGGGCAACGAAAATTATGGGGTTGGATATCAGGCTAGTGAAATCAAAAGACCACAGTCTGTGATTGAAGTTAGCTACTTAACTTGTTGTCAGGCATATTTGAAGTGGGAATTCTTCAGAAAATAGTTGGACTTTCCTTGTAATTAAATTAGTGCACATGTCAGAATGTCAGAGTGTGAGAAACACCAGACCTACCGACTTGATGTCCTCAAGTTCACCGTACTTATTAGCAGTGAAGTAAATTAAAGGCTGTAGCATGATTAGAAAGCTGACATGTTTCAGACATGCTACAAGGGAGTTTGCATTCTACATTGCAGAAAGGAAGTATTCTAAGCCCTGGAATGTTCCAATGAAAGAAGGGGGAGCTACAAGGTCGCTGCTACAGTGCTTTTGCCATCAAATGTCACACAAAAGAGTAATGACCTTTCGTTCTGTGTTCATCAAATTAGAGTCAATTGTTCTCATAAATGACAGGAAGGACGCAGGACCAACGTTGACCTTCCAAAAAACAAAATTTAATTCCGTCGTTCCCTTCAGGGGCTTAAACGGATTAGCATAATTGTGATTCATCGGAAAGGGCAAGTTTTTATGGGAAACTTGTAATTGCATTGGATGAGAGCACATCACTGTCATACTTGGAGTTTAAAGCGTTTTTTAATCAAATTAAAGAAAGCGTAAAACATTGAGTGTGACAGCTAAGGCTTTAGAATATAGGGAAAAGATTTGGACAAAAAATAAAATGGATATAGATAGACATATGAATCCATAGATGAAGACTTATACAAGATGATACCAGGTAATGATGTTTTTAGCATAAAATACAAAACAAGAAATATTCTAGATGATGAAATCTGTTTGATATTGACATTTACTGCCATTTCTCAGCACATTTTCAGTATCATTTTAAACTTAAAGCATTTGAAGTAGCCCCAAAACAAAGTACGTGAAGCATCTCTTTATTTTTTCGTTACCAGCCATAAAAAGCTAGAATCAGTTTACAATACAAAACAACAAATCCAGTTTTGCGCCCTTGAAATTGCATTTTAAAGGATACTCTACCTCTCTGTAGTCATGTCCAATTGAACAGTCCTAACCTGATTATAGTGTCCTAAATAGGAGGATTAACAGGAGAGGGGGTAGATCTATCACTGTAGGTGCTTATCAGTCACATTACTGATTACAGTACATAACTGTGATGGTCCTGGGATGCACTTACTTGTACTTGAGGCTCTGATATTAGATGTTTAGATGCTTCAGATCATTAATTAGGGTTTGACATTTGCTACAGTGGCCTTGTCTGTCCAGGATCTGTCAAGATGACCTTTCCATTCAGTGTAAATGCCACATCAATGATGGGACTTAATTTGATTTCACAGTAGCGTAACATGTGTGCTGTTACCTCCAAGTACAGTGGTGTTGTTTGGGTGGTGTTTTTGTTTGTTTGTGTGTGCGTAAGAGAGAGAGAGAGAGAGAGAGAGAGAGAGAATGAGAAGGAGTTTGCTAAATGTGAAAGTATTTGAATGACAGCGCACGATGGGGGGGGGGGGAGTATTACATGTACCTCACTACAGACCCCAGAAGGTCAGATACAGGAAATGGGGTCCCAGAAGCTGGCAGAGAGCCATAATAAGAAAAATCATTTATATTTTTCAAGCACAGATACATTGTAAGTAATCAAAGTACTGTAGTTTTCATTGTGGATTCACCACACCACAGATATGTACGCTCTCTTGCATTGTGTTTCTACGGTTGTTCAGCCATGAAGTCAAAACACCACAAGCACTTCCTTTCCACGAAATCAAGTTCCCTCGAACCTAAACGAGTTTACAGTACTTTGAAGTTTGCCAAGAAAAGCTTGTTGTTTCAAGCCCACCTAGTTCCCCCCTGAATGCATGGCTTCTTACTTTTCACACCTTGCGGGCCACGGAAAGTTACAGGTACATTTTTGGCATATCTACGGTGCTCAAACGGACCTCACCCCTGCACTACTGCATTACTCAGCCTCATTAGTGAACTAATTACCAACAAGCAGTCAGTGGCCCCTGCCCAGATGTAGGTTTGATACAGGACATTCCTTACTGTCTGTAACACAGGAATGAGGAACTAGGCTGTTAGTGAAAGATGTGTTGTAGATAACGGGCTGGCTCCCATTTTATGGTTGGTTGGTTGGTTGCTCAGAAAATGTCTGAGATTGCAACAAAGTCCTTGCAAGACTCAATTTGGGATTTTTTTCACTTGCGAAGAGATGTAATAAATGATTATGAGCCATGAAATGAGAGATTATATGACAGACTATGTGATGAAGCAGAATTGCCAAATATATCACAGAAAATGTTTGCAAAGATGAAATCTCACAGCAGTAATGTAGACCATTTTTTCAAATCAGTACAAAGATTTGCTAGTCCATGCTGTAACTTAAGTCTTTGATTTTGTATGATATTTCCTTATTGTTATATGACACTTAAAATGTGGCTTTCTAAAATGTATCTAATCAATAACAAATCTCTTACATTTTTCAGGTGATGTCAGACAATTTAGTGAATTCTACTTCACGAACGAGCCGCAGGACATGACAGTAGAGCGCGACGTGCCCGCCATGTTTAACTGCTCGGCCGTCGGCAGTCCCAAACCCACCGTGGAGTGGAAAAAGGACGGGACTTTCCTGAACTTGTTCGGCGAGACCAGGAGATCAATTCTGAACAATGGATCGCTGCGTTTTAGCAGCATCATTCATAATAAGAACGAAAAACCAGACGAGGGTCTGTATCAGTGTGTGGCCTCCGTGGATAGCTTAGGAACCATTGTTAGTAGGATGGCCAGACTTCAGGTGGCAAGTAAGTACAGGCTGGTTCTATTATCTTTTTTGGACAAATGAATTTGACAGTTGACATTGAAAACGAGTCATTCCAACTCTAACACACTGGTAGTGTAACTATAAGGTGCTTTTTTTGCTCTATACAATGTGCCCTGCTTGTTTTTTTCCACACATTTTGCCCCATACAAGGTGTCCTGCTTTTTTTTACACATTTTGCTCCATACAATGTGCCCTGCTTTTTTAAACACACAATGTGCCCTACTTTTTTTTACACACATTTTGTACCACTCATTGTGTCCTGCTTGTTTTTTTTCTTACAGCCCTGAGTAGATTTGAGAGAGAGCCCCAGGCTACCTCAGTTCACATGGAAGAGAACCTGAGACTGGAGTGTAGAATACAGGGCTCGCCCAAGCCTGATATCAGATGGCTGAAAGATGGGAAAGACATTGAACACGACCTCTTCGAGGTAAGAACTCCAAGTACTAGTTCTGTTGATAAGCTCCAAAAAAACAGGTGTTTTTACATGTATGTGTTTGTCATTTCTATGGTAGAAGTTGCTTGGAAAGGTAGCCTAGATGCCAGACTGTTTCCTGGGCCTACACTTATATACATACAACATTTCAAGTCAGAAACTACAATACAGGATGCACTTGCTTTCATTTTAGATGCTGTCCATTTTTCTTTGATTGATTTTCTGAATATCCCTTAGTTCTGTCAGATTTAGTTTCTTTGCACTTAGTTTATTTCTCCACTGTTGCATTTCGTTAGTATATGCTTTGTTTCCTTAATTATTTCCCTTTTCCCTTGGTTTTCTCTTTTTTCCCCACACTTCTAGCCATACATTCAAGCAGAGAGGGTGAGTTTCTATGGGGTAGTTTCTTCCCTTGTCTTCTTTCCCTTACTGTCTAGAGCCTGCTCTTTTAATACTAACCCGGCTTGCAGATTTTTTTTAAGAGAATGATGACTTGTTATCTTGTATAAGCATTATTTGAAGTTCCATTTGTTTAATATGTCACAATTTGAAGTCAACTTTCTGTACTGTTTGTGTAACATTGCAATTGATTTGGAATGTAGAATATATGAACTAGTATGTTCCAAATTCAATGCCTTTTTAAGCCAGTTTATGGTTTGAACTTTGCATTCAAAATGTTACAGATTAAGAACCCTAACTTGTAAAAAGTTCTTTGCTAGATCATGCTTAATATACATCGTATGTTTAGGTGTGTTTTGTCTCAGGGCTACCTACAAAGCATCACACTGCATACACAGTTCAAACCATGAACCGGTGCACCTTCGGTGTCTCGTAAGTTTTTCTAACTTTTGTTCCTGATATTTGCCGCAGGGAATCACGATACTTCCGAGCGGTGCGCTGGAAATCGCGTACGTCCAGTACACAGACGCAGGGAGGTACAAATGTGTGGCAGCTAACCCAGCCAGGGAGAGGGAGAGCGCTGAAGCTGCAGTCTCTGTTCTTCCCGGTAAAAAATGATTTGTTAAAAAACCTTTTGAATAACAGGATTGGAAAAAAATTATGTTTTCATTCTTTGACATGTTTTTCCTTGCCTACATTTTTTGTTACTTGCAGAACAACTTTGTGTATATTTGTCAAATATTCAGTCATATGATGTAACAAAAAAATGCCAAACTTCATGTAAAGACATGCCTTGAACTTAATTTGAGATGTCTGTGGAACCACTAATGTTCATAGTATGCAATGATATTGCAGGTTTGATTGTATAATGATATACAAACACTGTTTTCTCTATAACATTAATAATAACAATGTATGTTAAAGTAGAAATTCTATAGAGGTTATAACAGAGACTCAAAAGATGTTAGTTGAAAATGGCTACAACATGATCTGTTCTGTGTTCAGCTCTGGAACAGGTGAAGGAGCCAGAGTTAATCGTACTGCCAGAGGACATGACTGTGTTAGAGGGACAGACGGTTGTTCTAGAGTGTGTCGTGAACGCCATGCCCGAGGCTGACGTCATTTGGAGCTTTGGTGGACAAGACATCGACACAGGGTATGTCCCATTTGTTTGTGGGTGGACAAACATTGTGACACTAAAATAGCATTTGTTATGAAAGAAAAAATATAGAACGATTTAAAGTGAAGAATGCTCTGCAAAATGAAGGTTTTGCAAGTTCCACTCTACTAGTATTATGGTATCATCTTTTTCATTATTCTGTTATATTTATGTTTAAGAGGGAAGCTTTGTATAATTGTTACTAGTATTATGCTAACCTTGTACAGCTTTTGTATCTTCTTTTAGTGCTCATTATTGTCATCACTTGTAAAGCACAAATATCTTGAACTGTGTCATGGAATTCTTTGCACTGTTCTTTAGAATGGTGTTTCCTGTTTGTGTTGTTCCCTTGTTTTCTAACTCAAGGTATTGTCCTTTACCTTTGACCTTGTACATGTGCAGGTCTAACTGTGAACTGGCTTATTGCGTCATTTTTGTCATGTTTCTCCTTGTCCAGTATTCCACTGTTCTGAGTCTAGCACTGGTTACAAGTTATTAGCCTGTACCTTTAACCTTGTGTACATGTATGCACAAGTCTAACTGTGAACTGCCTGGCTTATTGTGTCATTCCTCACATGTTTCTCCTTGTCCAGTATTCTACTGTTCTGAGTCTGTACGTCAGTCTGTCTAAACCCTTCCTTCTGTGTCCTCTCGATTCAGCACCGATTCTGTTGACAGATCCGGCAGCAGACATTCCATCATCGGGGTCAGTAACCTGAGAATAGAGAACGCGCGCGAGTCCGATAGCGGGATGTACCGCTGTACCGGAGAGAACGACCACGGCTCCGTCACCGCCTCTGCACAGCTCATCGTAAACGGTAAGGGGGAAAATAAAATCAGCAGTTTCATATCCAATTAACTGGAGTCCCAAGTTTATATTCTTTACAGTAAATGTTACCAGGGCTCTAAATCTTTTTTTTCTGCATTCCTGCATTGGTGCAGGGAACGTTGAAAATAACCTGCACAATACACGTTTTACTTGTACCACTCAAACTTTGAGAAGTATGAATTATACTAAAACTGTTCGTAAACCTTTGCCATTATTTCTTTTATACGTCACAGGTGATACAGGTTTAGATGCAGGTAGACATCAGAAATACCTGCACAGCTCCAATTTTACCTTTAAGGTGCATATGCAAGTGGTATTTTGAAATGTTTATTGAAAAACATTTTATATGCAAAGAAATCATTGGAAATTTTATTGTTTCATCATTCTAGTGCCTCCAAAGTTTATGACTACCCCAAGCAATACGTACGCCCATGAGCGCAGTGATATTGAGTTTGAGTGCGATGTCTACGCCAAACCTGCGCCCCACATCTCATGGATAAAGAATGGTGATGCTGTCATTCCCAGCGACTACTTCCAGGTTAGTGTGCTTTTTTAGAATGTCATCAAGGGATAATATGAAAAACAAGCTTTACACTATCAGCTATTGAAAAAGCATTACGTTTTGCTTCTACGTTTTGCATACTGATTGTTCTATCTGAAATTGAATCAAACAATGGAAAACAAGGTTGATTTGGTATATTTCTCGACAGATTTAAAACAGACAGAAGCATTATGAATCCTACACACATGCTAATTGGTCCATTTGAAATTGAATGAACCAATAGAAAACCAGGTTGATTTTGTATGTTTTCCAACAGATTCAGAATGGACAGAACCTGCGTATCCTGGGTCTGGTGAGGTCAGATGAGGGCATGTACCAGTGTGTGGCGACAAATGAGTACGGAAGCATCCAGTCATCGGCACAACTTATTATTGTCGACCCAGGTATGTTTAGAAACCCACTAACCAACTAACTAGAACTGGCTAACGGAAGATGTTGACAACTGAATTTTTACTCCGTTTTTCATATTTGTATGTTATGTACCTTACTAGAAAAAACATTTCTTCTCTCATGAGCTACATTTGCAACAATTCAAATAACCCACAGCTCTCCTTATTTGGAAATATAATTCCAATGGCTCTGCCACTGAGGTGTCGCCAAAAATTCACGAAAAACAAGAATGACACAAGCTGGAAACACACAGGCGCATTACGAAGATTCTGTTTGAAGATGCAGGGTTGTTGTCACTCTTTCCCCACAAGCCCCCCTCCCCCCTGGAAGTGACATGTGCACAATGTCATCCTGACACATTGAAGCCGATACACAGTTTGAAAGGGAAACACCACAGAACCACTCTCGGCAGACGTGTCTGTCAGTATGTTTGCCTTCATCTGGGCGTAAATATTTACTCCAAAATGACAGAGGGGTAAAAAATGCTTACCCAAACTCGAGCCACAATGGGCTCCAAAATATGTTAAGACTTTACACCTGTACGTTGTGTATCTATTTGTACACAGGTGTGTATGTCTCACCTGTTGTACTACCACCAAATGTTTTGGCCACAGGTGTTTAAAGTGACATTTTTTCCCATTTACTTTAACCCTCAACATGCAAAGGGTGTCCCCATCTACCAGAATACTACTTGTAGGCTTGTCACCAAGTATGCTGAAAGTTTAGCAGGTTAAACTAAAAAATACAATGAAAATTTATAAAAGCAATAAAAACTGACAAAGATAGCTATGTAGGGGTCATGATTAAAGGTTAATGGAAGATACCAAAGTGCAATGTGAGTGGTCATAGAATTTTAGGGTGCCCCCACGTTTTAGAATGGAAGAGTCCAACCGTAGGTCCTGTTTTGTGTACACTTCTTGAGGAGTCTGAAGAGGCTTCTAAGGAGGCTTGATGTTTGTTGCTTAAAGCGCCGGGATTAAGGAACAGAACACCCAAGTTGAGAATGATGCTCAGAGAGAGCGTTGTTAGGGGTTGAGGAGTGCCATATGGGTGGGATATACATGATATGGGGAACATCTTTTATATGGTGTTGTCTTAGAACTTACTTTAAGGGATGGTTGGGTAAAGTGGAGAAAATTTAACTTCGTAGGAAAAAAAACAACAGACGTCTTCTCTTATGGTCGAAAACAGGTGCGTTGGATGTTTTTGAATTGTCGAAATTCTTTCGGAGTCATCGAAATTAGTGGCATTTCTTACCATACTGAAAGAATCACTGAAGTCTGAAGGGACTAGTTGGTGTTTGTAGTTCCCAAGAGAAAATCTTCATAGCTGCAAGTATCTACTGTACCAGAAAGTGTAACATATGCAAATGTTTTGAATATTCAAAGTCAATTTATTGATTATATGCAAATGAGGAAATTAAAATTCTGTCTTATGTATAGGAAAATGTGTAAAAAGAAGCAAACTAGTGAATAAAGTAGTATAGCGATGTTACGTTCAGTTTGTAATTTGAAAGAACGCTGTTTACTTGGACCTTAATTTGAACCTACGGAAACCAGGGAGTAAACAAGAAGCAGTGGGAAGCCGTTCTCCTTCCCAGGAAGACATCCTGGCTAGTGTACATCTGACACTTCTTTAATCCACGCCTGGCTTGTGTCTTCTCTCCTCTAAGACCCAGTAAAGCCTTCTGCTATATCAGCCTTTCCCAAGCCCCACTTGACTCCAAGGAACGATAAGAATTACGTCCAGAAGTCTTGAAAATAGCAGAAACACTTTAAGATCGGAGGGAAGTCAAAGTGCGAAGAACATTACTGGTGGTGGCAGTCTACGCAAGTTGGTCGTGGGAAAGGCGAAATCTACTTGTCGGATGTCAACAGTGGCTGCGCTACGTCCGTTAAAATACTTCACAATCTTAAGTAGAAAGACAGTACATGAAAGGCTTACTTGTGAAATTACAGCTGACATATGTTTACAGATAGCCTTGAGGAAGTCAGCATAAATGTTGAGTCAAACTTACATGTATCTGCATCGTATAGCTTATATAGTCTGTGACCCTTTGGTACAACACACCATCTTTGCAATCTGGTTATATTAGTAACCACTGAATGACCTGTCATAACCTTTACACATCTCACTGCAAGTGTTGTCTGGTTATCTAGTGAAGATACCCCTACTCTACTCAGTGACGATGAGCTATAGGCTAAAATAGTTCTCAGGAAAAAACTACTAATGTTTTACAGAAGTACCGGACACTGAATACCGCTGCATCTTCTGTATCATTAACCCCTTAGAAAGCTGATAAGACAGATGAATCAGAACAAAGAGAACACACTCTATGTAAATTCCTAACTGACCGCATCCGCTGGTTGACCCTCTCTCTGGTAGTCGTCCTCGCTAGACCCCCAATCTAGTGATGACTCATTAACACACAGCTATAATTACCAGCCTGAGATAACAGCACCTGGCTAATGTCCCAACTCCCCAGCCGACAGTTCCAGGTCTGTAGTGCTTTACACAGGCTAGCAGATACAGGAGTTGTTTACAGGTTACAGGTAGTGCTCTAGCCTGCACCCGTTTTCCCCTCAATTGCAGGAATTTGGTGGCTTAACAGAAAATTTTTTAACTGATCCGTCATCCCTGATGGATAGAATCGACAAAAATCTTGGGAAAGAATTAAAAAAAAAAAAAACCCATGAAGTGCCTCTCAAAATGTTGGAAAATGCATTTGCTTGAAAATCATCCCCTAGACCCCCCCCCCCCGATTTGCGATCATGAACCTTGGCTGACGGAAAAAACAAATCGAAAAGACGTTATAGATTTATGAAAAATTATGACACTCCTTGCAACAATTTTCTCTTGATGGTGTAGACTACATAAGGGTTTGAGTGACTCTTATTATCCCAGCTTTATCATTATATGTAATCATTGTATTCGCTCATGTCCCATTGAAGAGAATGGTACATGGTGGTAGTAGACATTTTGAGATTTGTGTTGCACAATCAAAGTTGAACACAAAATAGTTAATAGTTAATAGCCAATGTTATCTGTGACTAAACCTCTCAGTAGAATTTTTTGTATAATCACAAGATAAAATATTAAGATGATACCAACAATATGAAGCTTTCCACAGAAATTTTAAACATATCAATATCCCACAATCTTACTACAGACAAACAGATAAAATAGCAAACTCAAAGTACATGTAAATAGGAAATATGAAGATAGAAATTTCCAATATTCCATTCCTAATTGATTTTCATGCCTAGTCCTTTTAGATATAAGACCTGTAATGTATAATGTAGCTGTATTACCATACATATTACCCTGATGGTCTGTGGTACAACATTACCCATACATTATTGTTAGATCTGACCAGTAACAGACATGCGGCTTGATGGAAACAATGGACCGTGTCTCTAGACATTATCTAATGGTGAAGTTATGGTAAAAGGTGATCTCCCCGGGTGCCATCTGTGTCCATGGGAGGTTAGATATGCTCGTTATGTTATGCATATTGTATGCAGGTTATATGCCATATTCATCAAGTTTTAGTCATGCTTTTAGAGGTAGAAGTTTGAATGAACTTGACAAAAAAAAGATGAAAAAGAAAAATGGATACACACTTTTACGTTTTCTTCAAAAAAGCATGTCTCAAATGTATCCTTACTGCCCTTTCTATCCTAAAACAGTCTTTCAGAGTGGCAAACTGTTACGTAGCGTCCCTATTGACACATTCAACACAGTATCAACCACTTTGTTGGTACTGTCACCAACTAACTACAAGGGAACCCACCTTTCTCATAGACATAGTTGACTAATTATTAAACAGAATGGTATTGCAGTGATTTAACACAGGACATACTTATGTCAAAGGAAAAACATCCAATTTTGAGTAGCTTGGTCAGAAACCACAGGAAGTGTGACTAAATTTTAAGTCTGTCCCAGTAGATGCCCCCCCCCCACACATATACACAGGTGTGAGAACAAAGAGAATTCCCCAGGTGCAGCCAGGTGTCCCAGGTGATTAACCCCATGTGAGGCCTGGCTAATGGAGTCAGGTGCAGCCAGACAAAGTACAGGTTAGAAAGGCTGCAATTTAGGGATATCCCACTTCTCAATGGGGGAATCTTAATTTCTTACATGAAAAACTGAGTATTTTTTAGAGGATAATGTTAGGTTGTGCAGGACATACTTTTAGGCTGTTCCATATAATGTTTCCACAAACAAAAACAGGTTGCAATTTGGGGCAATTCCATTTTTAAGGAATTAGCTGTAGTATTTGCAAGGATTTTGCAGGTTATGATTAAAGTGCAGCATTCAGCTTTTCTCAATTTCAAAAGTTAACCTTGGTTAGACATCTAAGATAGAGCCAAGAAAATGAAGGATGAAAGAAAGGAAAAGAGATGGAGAAACGTGCAGCTTCTACCCTATTACAGTGTAATAGTCCAGCAGACAACTTTTTAAAGGGAAGAGCACAATTTGAGCCTGTAATCAAACCTACAGATGTGCCCTGGACAAATGGACAGTCGTTATAATCTACCCAATTAGCTACAATTTAGAGAGGAAGACAGTAATTTTAGGGTATTAACAACAGGATGCTAATGTTACCAGTCATTCAGGATGCAAGTTTTTTCTAGGACAGAAGGAATATTCCAGCTGAGTCCCTTTGATTGCTTTCTTGAAAGTAAAATACATTGCAGGGGGCAATATCATTATAAGTCCCATAAAACTGCAAGTCATTTCAGTCATGAGGACAGGTTTAAAGAGGGCAAAGCTATTACTCCTACATGATAAGGACATCATCTATATTCATTGTAAGGCAATCAGAGATGCCCCCAGGGTACCATTATTCATGATTCTGCTGTAATAAAAGGTGTAATGACCAGCTTTCAATTGCCGGTCGAAGACAGAAGAAATTGATTTCGGGAATATTAGTCTGACACTGTTGTATATAGCAATCTCAGCTATGGTATGTTTGCAAATGGGGCGGTCAGATTCGTTGTAGCTTGTTGTAGAAGTTGTAGCCATGCTGTGACAGAAAAAACCTCCTTCAAGGATCTAAGATAGCCTTTTCTGTAACAAAACAACTGAATTTTGCTGGACACATTCGCAAATATCCTCAGAATGCCTGTATTTTGTTACTAGTATTATACGATTGCATGATGGCTCAAGCCTTCGCATCCCAGTAGACTTTAGATGCTATTCTGGTACATTGTGACCAGACCCTTAGCCTTTTTATGGTCACTTCCTCCTTCAAATGTTTCCCTCTAGTAGGTTGTTGTAAAGTAAGAAGCTTGTAGCTTCAGTGTAATGGCTGCGGAAGGATTAAAGTATTAGAAACCAAAATTACAGATCCCAAGATACAGATAATATCTCACAAGGAAGCTAATCAGAGTGCATGTATTTTCAAATCTGCTGGATTTTTTAGGACTGGACAGTTTAGAGGAAAGATCTGTTAGCCTTGGCCCACATTTGATGAATATAAATTCCTCGCCATCTCACTATAAGCTGTAGAAAATTACACTTTCTTGTCTGCCATCCTGTTGACCTAATTTCTTCCTTGATGCCTGCTGAAGGCTTGAGCCAGGTAAGATAGAAAGGTCACACAATCGCGATGGACACAGATAGAAGGGTCTAACTGAATGGAAGGCAGAATTAACCTGATTAAGTGTTAGCCAATGGCTGTCTACACTGTAGACTCTATTCTGGTACCCTGTAACTGTATATTACTGGAGAATTCCTTGCTAAATCAGTGCAATCATTACAAAGAACAGGTGAGCAGATGGCTGCCATTTATTATAATACACGCAGTGGCAAGTGAGGAGAGACATCTAGCAGAACTTGTTAGTACTGCATGTAGTACTGCCATGCACCAAGCAAATGTGGTGCCATGTTTTATCGATGCACAAAATGCATGGAAAGAGTCCATCTTTCATATTGTATGTATCCAGCAATTCCTTAACAGAATGGGGACATTGGTGATAATTGCGGCTTTAGCAGATTCCTTTTTTGAATGCTGATGAACTATCTAACACGGTCTATAATTAAATAAATCCCCCGGATATAGGATATATTGGGGGATAATACCCTCTCAGACATTCAGGCCCCTTCCATAATACCCCTCCCCGTACAGAGTAAAGTTAATCAGATTATGGGGGCTCGTTAACATGCGGATGTCAGAGTCCCAAGCATTACAGCCAATTGATAGACTATGTCTGAAGTAAATGAGTTTATAGGTACCATCTAAGCACATTGCTGTTGTCAGGAGGCATGGATTTCATTTGCAAGTATAATTGTGAAGAGATTGGTTATAAGAAAAAGCATGCATTAGTTCAGTTTCTTTCCGTTTTGACTAATTTTAGCTCTGGCCTAGTTTCTGAATTGAAAACTGAAAACGTTTAGTAAATAATAGCTCCAAATAGCACAATACAGGTTCATACAGTATATCTCCCTTTTCTCTTTGTAGCCCATAAGAAACAAATAAGTAAATCAGGAGTTAGTAAAAATTGGTAGTGCTGTGAATAACAAAATAAGAGAAAAGCTTCAAACTACATTGAAGCCACCTTCATAGCAGTTCAAGGAAAAATATGAGCATCTATTAATTTATTAATCTACTAGTAGTAGAAAAAAGTGTAGCATTGCATGATTTGACAGCAAATGTGCCCCTAGCTATCAATGCACATATCAAAGTAAATAACTGCATTGGGGAGCAATAAAATTGGTCACAGTTTAAGCTAATTTTATAACCTTGAAATTTGAAGATCACAAAATTACCATGAAAGTTTGATTGAAAACCTTTCAGAGAATTTACTGAAAATAATCATTCATAAAACTAACTGTAAGATGTGTCAAAGGAGGTTAGACATTCTGATACATTATACCTGGTCTATTATTTCCACTAGTCATTAACAGCCACATTGGTTGGTTAGAGACCTCATATCCAGTTGATTTATTTTGTGCAATGTAGCAGTGAAATGGTATTTTATGTCAGCTCCCATATAGAAATTTGGTCTGTCCAATGCTCACTGTAATTCATGTTACGGTAGAGAAATTTCATGGCCTTGGAAAAGAAGCGGTGTTCACAGAAGGCTATGCGGTGTTCACAGTGACGGAGAAGGGGGAGGGGGGCAAAAGACAAATATTTGTTAACAGTAATGATAAATTCACTGTACAGAAGTGACTGAAAACTGCAAACATGAAAGTGTCGTGAAGAAAATCAGAAATTACACTGTATACAACCGTGCCCTTGGGACAAATGTCGCTTACAAATTCCAAAAGAAGATAAGAAAACTGTGACGGTATCAGTTTGATTCATCCCTGTCATTCCTCGGAAAATCACACCCGAGTGGCCAATAACACTGCATCTCCCTAAATCTCACGTCGTCTCATTTTTCATGACTTGGCGGCGGCTCCTTTTAACAGCGTTTGACAAACGGTCTGGCGAAATCTATCGCTGCATAATCTCACGCCTACCAAAAATCGTTCCCGGCTTAACGATCGTTTAATTAATAGGCCAGCGTTAACGTTGATTCCAAGTTGTAAAGTAAGACTGCTGTGTCTAATGGAAGTCTGAATTGTTGCAAATGAGCTGAACCCCCCCTCCCCCTTCCTTTTATTGTATAGTAGAATGGTAGTTTAATGCGTTATGTTTTTTATAGTGTCAGTAGGTCAATGCTAAGCATTGGGCAATAAAAGTCTAAATGGCACCAGATAGGCGATAAAATCTGCTTATGGAAGGAAAAGTGGAAGAAAATGGCATTTTCGACATCACGTATGGATAAGTGCGTTCCTGGGCAATTTGAAGCACACAAAAAGCGGTGGAGAAAGCCATTTAGAAATGCTTTCCTGGTTTTTACTGAGCTTTTTAGACCATAACAGACAAGTGTATTGTTGTTTTGTATTTATAAACTATATATAAGTTATTGTGATGCATGAAAATGTATCTAGTTCTTTTATCAAAACCAATTTGTTGTGACAAATGTTATCAAACATCTAAGACAATTGGAAACTGTTGCCACAGGTATGAAGGGTGGTATCCACTATTTTATTTTCTCTCCTTTTTTCACACCTATGATAGTGGAAGTTAGTTTTAACAACATACTTCACTTATGCACATGAATCTATAAATCGTAGCACTACAAATTTAAGGTGGCTCTAAGGTGTCTAACTTTGCCTAACTTGTAGTTTTTTATGTAGTGAATAATCTCTCAATTTTTGAGAATGGTGTACTTTTGTAGTTGTTTGGAATAATGTGTGCTAACCTGGTGACTTCCCACCTCCTTGACAATGTCTACTTACCCACTTTCTTACAAAGTCCTAGCTCTACTCCTCTACCCTTACCTTTAACCCCTAACCTTTGAACCTTGCTCTTTAACCTTTAGTTTGCTCACGTAGTGGGTGTCATAGTTTGGTTTGAAGTCATTGGTTTTGTTGGGTAATTATTCTGAGTTTTAATCATCAAAGAGTTCTCTGCTGGAGTGCTGCAGACCGTGCAGTTGTGTAAGTACGTTTCGCATGTTTAATTTTCTTTAGTTACTCACCAGCGCCTCCTTGCAGTATTGCAAGGAACTGCAGGTAGCAGTTTAAGGGCTGCTGGTGTAGAAAGTGTATGTATTTTTCATTTTGATTATTTATCATTTACGGTTTGCTTTTGTTTGTTTTTTCCCTTTTGTTTTCCTCGGCATCGCCTCCCCCAGACGTGCCTCTTCCCACAATGCACTCATTAACGACCCCTACGCCGACCGCAGCAGCGGAAACGCCCACGCCGCATCCCGTCCCGTCGAGGCCCAGGGATGTCGTGGCCGTCACAGTGTCCACCAGATTTGTGGCGCTGTCGTGGCGGATGCCTGCAGAGTCCCATGGAGAAATCGTGGCATGTTCTGTCTACTTCAAGCAGGAAGGGTCTAATAGGTAAATACTGTACTTCTGCTAACAGCACAAGTATACTCAGAAAATCCTGGACGATTTTCTAAAGAAGCAAGAAGTTTGATTTTGTTCAGTGGTGGAATGTTTGACAGTAACCTGGGAGTAGCAATACATTAGCTCCCCCTGTCATCCCTATTTAAAAGTGCAAGAGGATACTTTTTCCTCTCCTTTCCATCCAAACACGTTGGAACTTTTCTATGTAGTAAAGAGTAGAGAAACTCATTTTCATTTTCCACATGGGCACAAAACAAACCACAAATTGTTGTATGGTTTTCTCAGAAAACGATAAACGTTTTGAAAACAAACAAATTTTGCTCTTTCAGGGAAAGAGTAGTGAACACCACGCGCTACAATCTGGAGGAAGTAGACGTCCGCGACCTTCAACCCTCCACGAGCTACGTGTTCAGGGTCGTGGCGTACAACGCTAACGGTCCCGGCGAGAGTTCGGACCCGATCTACGTGCAGACGCAGCCAGAAGTCCACGTCCCCGGCCCGGCTACCTCACTCCAGGCCGTGTCTGTGTCGCCTGTGGCCATTTCTGTGTCATGGCAGCCCCCTAATCAGAGAAACGGGGTTATTCTGAACTACAAGGTAGGGTGGAGTCTTTACTATCATTCGGCACAAGGTCTAGAGGCAAATTACTTCTGAGAGTGAATTCCTACACAAGTTTTTATGTATTATGGATGAATGAACAAGTAGTCCTGTCTTTTTGGATGCATTTACAACTTTGACTATAAGCTATCTCTTTGTTTTTTTGAAAAACAAAAATTCTTGAAAACATTCTATAGCTATTGCCTTCTTTCCTTCCAGCTGTATTATGTAGAAATGGCGGCAGGGCCTCTCAATGAGGGTTCAGTGGATGTCAGTGGCCTGTCCCACACCCTGAGCGGCCTGAAGAAATACACAGAGTACAGCTTCCGAGTGGTGGCATACAACCAGCACGGTCCGGGGATGTCCACTGAAGAGGTCATCGTTAGGACACTGTCAGACAGTAAGTGTTGATTACTAATCACAGTGTGGTGTCTGTATTTCCCTGCAGTTCACCTTTATCTCAGTAGGAGGTGTTAGTTACCTGTTGGTCTGATGATTGTGACAACTTTAATGTCTCAAAATGTCTAATATTTTATGGGTTATGCAGTGACGTAATGTCTTTTAAAGGTGTCTAAGCAACCTGTTTGTCATGTTGTACTTATACCATTGCTGAGAAGGAGAATATGTCTGTATTTGTGATGGAGATTACAAAGTTTTGATCTTTTTTTTGCAGTTCCAAGTCAGCCTCCAACAAATGCCACTTTGGAACCACAAAGTTCAACTGTAAGTTTTTCCTGCAAGTTACCATGAGTATGAAATATAACAAAAATCACTGCTGTACATTGCCACCACCTACTGATACTAGTGTGTAATTTTTCATGGAAGTTTTGTCATAGCAAGCCTTTAAATATCCAATATTGTCCTTGCATACTTTTGGTAACATTTGGAATTTACATTTGCTCAGACTCTTCCTTGCTAACTGATATTGAATACGGGTAAAGAAACTGAATTTTTTCCCAACTTCTCTTTGCTGGACCAAAACTGTACATTTTCCTACAATTTAAACATTTGAAAGGTACAACTGTTTCCATTCCAACAGTCCATTCTTGTAAAATGGAACCCGCCTCCCCGAGACAGTCACAACGGGATCATCAACAGCTACAAGATCCGTTACAAGAAGTCTGGAGCGCGGCGGGGAAGGGTTGTGGAGACTGGCGGCAACATGAGACAATACCTCCTCACCGGTAAGACAATCCTTACACTTTGTTATGTCTCAACAAGTAGCCCTCTGGAAGTAGCAAACCTTCCAAGCCCATAGCTGCATTGGGCCAAACTTATTTTTGCTTCCAAAGCATAGATCAACTGAAAATAATCCCCTATTTCGATGCGAGTCCAGGACTGGTCCCCAGCTGTAGTCCAGGTTCACCTGGATGGTTCAGTGGTTAAACAGTCATGACACCAATGGGAATTGAACCCCCAACCTATGGTTCAACACTGTTATACAGTATGTTGTCCTCTAGGCTGCAGCTGCCTCAGAGCCACCCTTTAGTGCATATTCATAAAGGCGCATCTGGTTTATCTCCCTAAGGAGTGTATTTCAGGACAAGGGGAAGACATAAGAACACAAGTACGCCAAAAATTACAACCCTGTACTTGCCAAACCCTATTAATAGGTTTAGAATTAGACTTTTTCCTCATAAAGTGACTGAAAAACTGCTACTTCATTTTAGTATGCCTGCCTATACTCTAGCCTCTTCTGTTGAAGTAGATAGTATGAATATGGCCAAGGTAACTCAAGGCTGTGGAACAATGGTATATGGCGGCTTTATCCTGATAGATTTGAATGGGACTGTGCATTGCAAAGTAGTGTCAGATCAATAGAGTATTGGGAAAACCATTTCAGACTTTGTCCTGTGTAATTTACAACAGACTCCGGGAGTTAGGGGCTGGCAGGAGGGTTAAACATTTATTGGAGATCGGGAGGGCAAAAGAGGCAGGTAGATTGTGTGAGCGGTAATGTGTTAAGAGGAGATGTTTCATTACTGCAATTTGCGTGTTTCCTTGAAGTGTGTGTAGTCACGTTTGGGCGCGGTCCCTCGGGGGACGCGTGTCGCTAGCTCCGGCAAACAACGGCACGCTGCGCTAAGGCGTTCCAGAAAGTTTCCTGCAAACAGTGTGCGACTTTTAAAAATGTTTTCATTTCAGGAAAGGTTTCTTTGTAGTTAAGAACGATGAAAATTTTGAAATTTATTTCTACTCCAAAGAATCAATGGTCTTGAACTCATCAACTAATATATGATACAAGGTAACATTTCTTTGATAAATGTTCATAGCAAGCTGACTTTGTATTGAACATAATTTAACCAGTCAAAATTGTGGATACAGCCAGCATTTTTAGATTTGTCCCTCCAAAATGAAAATAAAAAGTTAACAGTACATGTCACTGGAAGAAATTTTTGTTGCAATTTATAGAATACATTTTTCTATATGTATGTACAATTTATATTGTCTATATTCTCATGTTGCAATTAGCCCTTGGGCATGAATTTAAAAAAAGTTACTGTTAAACTGAGGTGGACTTAGATCGCCCTCCCCTACCCAACACCTGGACAGACCATCATTATTCCAGCAGTGTTCTGCCACAAATTGTTCAGGTCGATAGCTTGGAAGAATGTACTCCGCTGTATGGAAATGGTGCGTCGTAATTTATAGGCGCCGAAAGGTGCCGGAATGGGATTTAAGGGCTGCGTTTGGAGGCATTTTCACGGTTAATACGCGAAGGGAGGCGCGCGGAATATGTAATCTTAACCCGGATAGAAAGGCGAATACGCAAATTTTATCACCAGCAGGCCGTAAAGTGTTTTCCCCTTGTAAACCGGTTGGCTGGAATGGAAGGGAAAACATGTATCTGGGGTAGTGAGTTAAAGGTGGAGACGGATAATGGTTGGTATTGACTGGTGAGGGTTCAGGGCCAGGACAGAGGCCAACCGAATCCACCACAGAATTAAGATGGCCCCGGAGGTGCTGAGAACGGCCTGTGAAGGGGTTTGCCTTCTCAGGAGACGTTACAGAGGTGTTAGCCGGCATTTCATTTTCCGGGAGTCGGAAGTCACCGAATTTGAAAGAAAGTTAAGGAAGAGATCATGCTTGAAGGGTATACATTCAAGTCCAGTGTTAGGGACATGGTGTAAGATGGAAGCTAATTTACTGACAAGTTTGCTATACAGGTCAAAACTGTGCAAGAAGACCACTCAGAGGGCTGATAAAATCTGGTCTGGTAGTCACTATAGTCAGAATTCTTAATGCTCGTGTCAATGAAAAAAAAAAACATAAAAAAGTGGTCACATTGGCCAGGTAGACTTAATGTATAGGTGATCACTTGTACAAGTTTTACTGTCTTGACTTCGATAGTATGGTTATGATGAATATGAAGTACTGCAAGTATTTTGTATGATAGATTTCGTAGCTGAAATGCTAACTGCTGTTAACAATATGAGTCCTATCAATTTGTCGTCATGAAAAGCAATCGTTTGTAACCAATAACTGAAAACAAGTCAGAAATCTGCCAAGTTTGGGAACATGTTAGGTGGCCCAGATTGTGATCCTGTCTGGACATGTGTGACGTCCCCACGATCCATCCGGGCTCCGCACGATTGGCACAACTGGTCCGAACGGACAATGATTGACAGATCTGCGCTGATTCCCGCCCGATAATTATCCCGGGAAAGAGGAGCGGTAACGAAGCCCTGGGGGGATTATTTGAAGCGAGGAGACAAGTAGATTTATCTGGGGGATTTGGCGCAATAAAACTGGGCGGGGCGGCGGCTTTATATCACACACACAGGTGGGGAGAGGTTAGACTGAATAGGCTGTGAAAAATGCTGGGATATCACTCACATTTAGAGCTCAAATTGGCTTCTTAAATCATAGCTGAACTGATGAAAACTGTTTTCGCTTTGGCCCCATCTACAGTATGTTACATTGTACATGTATAGTGTTAAAACTATGTTCTTGTGTTACCTTTTTACTCAGGAGTTATATATAGCAGCCTTCAGGGTAATTATGAGGTGTGTTAAATTTGGAACGTTGCATTGTGGAGGAAACATGGAGTGACTTCATGACAGTTTTGAAATATAAAAAGCAGAAAAGCGGAAACAACATGGATGATATCATGAATGATGAAAAATGAATGAAATACAATGTAGCAGACCGAGTTGCTTTCTCCATAATCTGATTACAGTACGGCAAACATACAGACACTTTAGGAAGAATACTACTATGACACTTTAGGAAGAGATTGTTGCGAAGTACAGGGAAAAATGGAGTGATAGAGACACAAAGAGAATGAAGACGAATGTTTATGAGGTGAATTACAGCTTGGTAGAGAGGAGGATGGTTCGACACACCAGCAGCAGTAATTATGATGAATCACTCCTCAGAGAAGACTGCAACACTGATGGATCCCACCAAAATGAAATCATACCTCAGTTAGAGGTGTCCATCTGTTTGTGTAGGGTTTAATGAGGTTTCAATGGTCAAAGGTGTAAGCTGCCGTTAGATTGACGTATTGGAATCTTCGCTTGTCGAATTTGGTTGGAAAATGACATTTTCTACTGTCACAGAAGTGGAAAATCAGCCAAATGACTTGAAAAAACAATACAACTGTATTAGAGAGTAGACAAACTTTTGGTCGTTATATTGTGACCAGTATGTTATACACCGTACCATGTTAGTGCAAGTGTAAAGTATACATTGCTATATAGTATATGCTGCCTTGTAATGGCCGAAACAAAATGAAATCCATGAAACATATAAAATCTACATAATATTATTGATCACTACAACAATTTTATTAATTGCAGTTCCTCATTAAGTTCATATTAATTTCAATGGTAATATTCCACGGTTGATTTCCTTAATTGATCTTTGGCAACCACTACTTTTTTACATTGTTAATGATTCTGGATGCTACAGATTATATTAAATCATTTTGATGTACTTATTAGATAGAAATAGATTATTCTAGTCTTATATTAAGTTTTGAACACTACTAAAATTGATACGCATCTAAAATGCTTCAAGTTGTCAAAATACAATATACTAATAACAAATTTTTAATTGTCATAGCTGCCATGTTATTTATTTATCTACACTCATTACATTGTTACCTTTTGTACTTTTTTTCCAAAATTTTGTTCCGTAACATTTGTTGTTAAGCATTGGTGTGCAGTAAAACAACATTAAAATGGTTTTCTGGCCTTCTTGTCCAACCATCCTTGACAAGACCACATATGGTCATTTCCAAATTGCTTCTGACTTCTGACCCCATTTTCAAGATTATGCCTCCATATGCTAGCATGGCAGAGATATGACGCTGAACCCTATCCACAACATATGCCTCACGTTGTACGAAAACGAGTTGATTTGTGATATTAAATATTTCTATGAGCCAGCTAAGACACCACTCAAACTACACGTACCTAAAGAAGGCAACATAACAGTAACAATTTTAAAATTCAAAACTACATGAAGAAAATAGAGCAATTTTCCACTGAATATTTGGTTTTTACGAGGTCCAATTTTGGACTAGAACTTGAATTCATACATCTGTAAAGAAGAAGTGAACAGCATGTTCAAACTCATGGTTACAATCCATTCACTGATGTTACCACATGTTAGGTGAATTACTTCTCCGTGTACTCACCGTTTCTCCTTGTCGTGAGCTTGTGCCGTGTGGTAGAAGTCTTCCAGTCCTGTCCCGGTTTTCGGAGGGTCCTCAGGCAAATTAGCCGCCTGCATTAGAAGTCAAGTGCCTGCCGTGGTGGCAGTCTGTCATGTTTGCTCCCGGCTTCCTGTGCTGAATTGCAAATGGCTGGACTATACGAGTGTTTTCTGGATTGTTCTCTCGTCGTAAGGCTGGGGTTTGTGCAACAGCTGACAGCTTGAGATAAAAAATACTTTTTTACTGATCATAATCACTCCTTTATGAATTTGCAATAATGTTAAATGTTGCAGATAGTAGTCAAAAGTTTCTTCATATTCCCTCTTTGTATAAATAAGACTAGAAAAATCCGGCACAAATGGCTGATTTTTTTGCAACGGAAGGAAAGAACTTTTTTGAAAAATCCTTTCCCGTATTGTATGTGAAGATAATTGTAGTGTTTTTCCTGGTGTGAGATATTCCAATGTGATAACAATGCTGTTTAACACTGCTGAATCTTCCGTCATCTTTACATTGCCGAGC